GAGGTTTAGATAAGTATAAAACCAGGTTTAATCTACCATGTTCTACATAAGGAAATGCCTGTACCAAGTCTGGAATATGACAGTTGTTTTGCATTCATTTGAAGTTTTGTTTTGTTATTTTTCTTTTAATGGTTATAAGACATTATTTGTTGAAATAAGTTCAGCTAAAGTATTATCTTTCAATATAATTTATCATGTCAAACATTCATTCAATGTCTCCTTCAGAATAACCAATCTGTTTTAAATTTACTGTTTAAATATTTTTCATTCATCATTTTGATTTTGATATGTAACAATCAAATAATAACATGTACACATTGCAAAATGAAATTAATAATATTAATACAAAGTGCCTAACCGCAATTAATAAAGGCTTTAATTCGCAAACATTTTGTCCTATTTCACTTATGTGTGTTTAGTTTTGTAATTTTGGAAAATTCACATGAAGGTTGATTGTAAGGGTTTTGGCATAAAAGGTGTTCTTGGAAATTAAAATTTGACAACATTTCAAATTGTCATCAGAAAAACTCATATTTTCAAAGCACATCAATTTTTTCAAATGCTTTCTTACCAAGTAAATGTCGAAGTAGGTAGATATTTCAAGCCTATTAGTACTTCTACATAATCACTGAATAAGATGAATATGCACCGGTATTTCTTCCCATTAATAACCTGAAGATGTTGCACTCATTAGAAATTTATATCACAATTCGGGTTAAGTAAGGAGTGTTGATGTTGATATTTTTTTCAAAGATTCGACGAGGGTTCGGACATTTTTTTATATTGTTTTTGGTGGAAATTTTTGTAATTATATCATCTTATATTATGTTTGATAGTAATAATCAAGAATCAACAATTTACTGATGCAATATTATAATGATTACTAATCGGATTTAATATCTTTCGTCAATGTAAAAGCTTAAGTTGAAAGCTCGAAGCGCGGTGCAAAATAATTAAATTCTGAAAACATCTGAATGATTTATCGAAAACAAATCAAATGGTTAACAAAGGATTGATAATTAGAATGTGCAAATAGATGATTAAATGAAAGATGACGAAAAGACAAAAAAAAAACATTGTACGGTACCGTTTGATAACAACCCTTAGTATTTATAATTATAAGTGCATGTGAAAAAGTGATTTTCATATTTATATGCATTTTTTGCTTGTCCAATTGTCAACTTGGCATTTCCTGCAGTAACAGTCTGTCTGTCACATTGTACGGTGTTAACATATCTCAGTTAATAAGTGATGCATGTTCTCCGACAGAGTTATGAAGAAGAAAGACTTAATCGGCACAACATAAGTTTGACGATCAACATCATGAATTGGTTTACATACACGATGTGTTTGTGTCTTAGATAATTTGCGAAATGTTTTCACGGTTAGATCTTTAGATGAGTTGTTCAAAAGGAAACATTGAATTAATTAATTTGTTAATGTACCGATTGTCTCTTATCCCAATTCATATATTTTGGCTGAATGTGGATTCATATGGCGAGTGATTTATGCATATCAAAAGACGCCTACTTGTCGACGCATCCGGTTTTGTTCCATTTGGGGATCATGCGGTTCCCTCAATTTTCGTTTGTTATAGTGGTTTGTCTTTAGAAATATTTACGATATTTGAATATAGATACACTACTATTGCCTTAGTAAACATAAAGCCATAATGCTGCAACGACGTTCAGGACAGGCGTCTGTTGTCTTTGATTTTTATCTTTGTTCTCTTTTCTACTTTAGAGCTTCGGAGATGTTTCATACAGAGTATGTTTATTATTGAAATTAGACTTTGAGCGTTGCTGGTTGAGTAAATATAGAAATATGCATAAATTGCAGAACAGAAAATATACGTTATTTATGTGATAATTTTTATGTCTAAAATGACGTCCAGTTAAGATAAAATTTCCATTTGTTTTCAAACAGATGTTGGACGGTATACATAACATATGACAAACCGTTGCATTCTATACCCGATATGCCTCGAACCTAAGTTTGTTGACCAATTATCATATCTGTCTCTGTCTAATACAACTATATCCAATAATTCATAGCTTCGTTGCTTTCTGTGTTAAATTCTGTAATTTCAATAATTGATAGCTATTGTGTTTTAATTCTAATAAAGTGACAGTCATTTAATTTGAAATGTATACCTTACCCTGGCTTGTGCTGAAAAAAATCAACATTATTTCCATCACATATTGGACCGCACTGGTTCCTAGAAGTTGGGTAGTACAAAACAGTAACTTCTGATCTGACCAGCAGAGGAAATATGTCATCTTATCTAATGTTGTTTTAAGTATTCAAATAAACCTCTCAACAAGTAGTCTGTAGTTATCACTGTGTATCATCGCTATGGAAATTGGTTTCCAACGAAGCAGAGAGAAAGAAGAAAAAAATAAAGAAGGTAAAAATTCCTTTAAACTAAACTTCTACCGTTTGATGTGATTACTGCTGATAAAATGATTTTCTGATATATATCGCTTATTTTTTTTTCATGCCAACAAGTAGCAAACAAAAAAAAAAAGATTTTGTGCAAACATGTGGTATAAAAAAATATCGAAATCGATCGCCCTTTCGACGTTCAGTTTGCAGATATTCAACTGCTTTTTCATTCTTATTCCAGACAAAGTGTAAGATTATGATGGTGTGACTTTGTCGGTCCCTTCTCAATCGATTAACGAGATTTGAACATCGGTAAACTACTATCGCCCTAATATGAAAATACGCATCAGGTCGAGATAAATGGCATAATCTTCCTTCTGTACTTAGTTAAATAATAATTTAGAGAAACAATTTTAAAGTGTTTTTTTTTTTTCTTTTTTGGAAATACTAGTATGATTCATAAGTGTTTAAGTTTAGAATAGACCCGGTCTTATAGTTGATGTGTTTCCAACGGTTTTAGTTTGTAATCAGGATCCATTTTCTCTCAATTAGTTTATGACTTTTGAACAGGGTATACTACTGTTGTCTTCATTTAAATTATGATAATACAAAAAAACTCATTGAGGATTATTAATATTAGCTACGTCAGACGCGCATTTCATCTATAAAAGACTCCTCAATGGCGGTCGAGGAAAAGCATTTGGGAAACCAATATACTTATCGTAACAGTTTTACATGTTTTATGATAATAATATTTATGGAAAGAAAAATCAAAAGACTGATAATAAAATGATAATAATCATGATAAAGAATTGTTTTTATCAATTGTCATTTTTATAAATCTAAATTTGTGATAATATGTAATTAATTATTTCGATATTTTTTGTGAACAGTAAATTAATTTTGATGATTTTAAACATACTTTATTCATTTCTTGAATATGTCGTACTTTGTTTTGCTTGCTTTTTCAAGATTTAATGAACAAATTTTCACATTCATCGGTGGCATCTTTTTATTATTATAGCATTCCCATGACCTTTGTTTTACCGAATTATAAAATGCATAATCTTCAACTACATCTCCTACTGTAATTCCGCGAAATATACTTAGTTAACTGCACAAATGTACGTCCCATTTGATTTGTCAACCTGTTCAGTTTTTGTCAGAACTATTTAATGAGAATGATATCTCATTGTAATTTCCGGATTATACATATTCTGAGAAGAAGCATTAAACACAAACACATAACTATGACACGGTCACCCTCGGTAAACTAATAATAACCTTATTTGGTCATTGATATGTTGTTGGAATAAGATCTGTATTCCAGGAAATTTAAACTCAGAAACAAAGAAAATAGTTTGATAAGTTTTTAAATAATCTCTTTAAAAGAACTAATGATATTGATTTCAATATATTTTTAAAGTCATACGTGATCTATATTTTATTTACTTTGTAGAATAGTTTTGACTACAACAAGAAGTAAGTTGAATTATACTACAGATACTGTTTTCATCATCAATAACAATATTATAATAATTATAACGAATCGGTTAAATTTGAATCTGTTTTTTTATTATTTGCTTAGTATTTAGGATTTCTGTATTATCTGACCATGTACGTATTCACATTACTCTTTAAGTATTCAAGATCAAAAGGTCTTTTTACCATAATTCCATCGACTCATTTAAATTGCTTATCTGCGATCTATTTAGAATATCGTTTCAAATAACGGTTAACAAAAAATTGAAAAAAAATATTGAGAACGTAGTAAGTGTAGATATTGGTCAGCCTCATTTTATTTAGTATTACGGAAACATACATTTAGCATTAGATTTCATCCGGTGTGGTCAACAATAACATGTCCCAATTTAGAAAGTTATTAATCCGGTTAGAGGTATAGGAGGAGGATTTAGATATCACAAAACATGTTTAACACCGCCGCATTTGTGCACGTGTCCGAAGTCAAGAACATTTAGCCTTTGTTAGTCTTATATGGTTTTTTTTTAAATTTTTGTTAATTTTAATGTTTCGGAGTTTAATGTGACGTCCATTTTCTCTGAACTAATACATCTAGCTGTGGAAGACCTTTTGGTGGCCTTGGGCTGGTATTTTGCTCTTTGGTCGGATTGTTGTCTCTTTGACACATTCCCCGTTTCCATTATCAATTTTATGGATTACTTACATAACAACAAACTTGCCCATAAGGAAAAAGGTAATACTGCCATAAATTATAGATAGTCCACTATAACCTGCCATAGATTTGCAGCTACTCCTTCAGTGAATGCAACTTACGTTACCATTATAATTTCAAAGTTCTTATCAATATAATGGAATTTTATACGACTGTCACACAAGTGAAAGATAAAGCTAGCTATAAAACCAGATTAATCCTCCATTTTCTACATAAGAAAATGCCTGTACCACGTCAGAAATATGACAGTTGTTATCCATTCGTTTGATGTGTTTGAGATTTTGATTTTGCCATTATATTAGGGACTTTCCGTTTTGAATTTTCCTCGGAGTTCAGTATTTTTGTGATTTTACTTTTTATCATATGTACAATTCTAAGTAGATAGAAATAGAACTGTTCATGCATTTTTTTTTAGTACATAGCTGAGTACTATCCATACTATTGAAGGCACTTTTGCCGTTAGTCATGAATAAGCTAACAGCAGCCCGTGAAGGACACAGACAAATCGTCACAAGTCTGATGGCAAACGCAGCAGACAAAGGAGTCCAGGAACTTGTAACGGTATTGGAAACTCTAGAAAAGAAAATGAAATTGCTTGAAGATTTAGACGAAAATATTCTAACCGAAACAGCTGTCGAACAAATTGAACAGGAAATTAGTGATGCTGAACAATATAAATTAAAAATAAAATTCGCAATTCAAAAATACAAGAACATTATATCGATCCAAGGAGTCAATGAACCAAAACATGTCATGAAAATGGTGAGTATTAATATTTATATATGAACGATCTGATCAGTCAAGTCCTTTACGTCTGAATTTTTCAATTTGTTTTTATGAAGTACTCTTACATCACTATTCTTTGTTATGAGGACACTTTAGAACCAATATACATGGCTGACCAAACGAAGTTCAGTATGCGCCTAACCAAGTGAAGAGCCCGTAACTCCATGGTTGTCGGTGGTTGCTGCACGTCGTATTTCGTTTTGTTTATTGCTTTTGGCCATAAATCAGGCCGTTGGTTTTTCTTTTGCATTATAAATGGGGCACTAGCTACGAGATATTAAAGAACGTTTAAAGTATGATTTGTTTTTGTTTAATTGTTAATGAAAGTGAAATGATCAAATAATAATTCGCTTTTAGCAACCAGTTTGGTTCAATTTTTTTCAAAAAAGCTAAAAAATATAGATGATGAATTATTCCCTTGCAAGTGACTAATTCGACTTCAATGAATCCATATTCATGTGACCTTTAATTTAACCCCTTAGCTAGAGATGGGTTACGCATGAATTAGGCGTGTTAAGTTATTAAAAAGATGAGAATGTCAACATTAAAATTGAAACAAGGGCAATCCATTTGATTGACTGATTCGATCAACGAAAACTCATTCTTATACAGGTAATAACGATGATTAACATATATTTTAGCTCACCTGGCCTAAAAGGCCAAGTGACCTTTTCTCATCAATTGGCTTCCGTCATCCGTCGTCGTCCGTCGTCGTCGTCGTCGTTAACTTTTGCAACAAAAATCTTCTCTTCTGAAACTACTGGCCCAAATTTAACCAAACTTGGCCACAATCATCATCGGGGTTTTAATTTTAAAAAATGTGTCCGATGACCCCGCCTGCCAACCAAGATGGCTGACATGGCTTAAAATAGAACATAGGGGTAAAAAGCATGTTTTGTCTATTATTTTGAAAAGGGGACAAAAATGTTCAGAATGATGAGCTGTACTAATTGTCTATATACGTCAAAACTATCAGACGACTTTTTATAGGGGTTATTTCCCTTAAATGACAAATGTTACCATTTTTGATTATTTTTGCCAGTTATCTTGAAAACTATAATAGATAGAGAAAAACTTCAAATTTCAAAAATAATCAGCATGACAAGTTTAACAAATAAGTCTGCATGGCCAAAATCTTCAGTCTTCTCATTAGAGATTTAGCACTTTGATGACGATTTTTACCAAATTTTTGCGTTTTAGCCTTATATTTTAAAAATGATGATAGATAAATAGAAACTTAAATACGGAAAAAATGATCAGCAAGACATGATCTATAATTAAGACGATATGGAAAAAATCGTTCAACGACTCATTACTGGAACTTTTACCCTTTGATGACGATTTTTACAATTATTTTGCGTTTTGCCTTATATGTTCAGAATTATAATAGATAAATAGACACTTAAATCACAAAAAATGACCAACAAGGCAAGTTCTAATAACAAGTTTGCCGATATGGTTAGTAGACTGTCAATCTTTGAAGGATGGATTGCCCTTTAATTAGGATTTTTTAACCCTCTTTGGTGTTTTGAGCAAAAACTAAAGAAGAAAAAGGGACACTAAACAGAATATTTGATCAGGAATACAAGATCAACAAAACAGATTTTTGTCATAAATCCTGTTCTCGTCTACAATGTTGGAGAGTGTCCTTTGTTGAATATGCACATAGACCAAGGTGAGCGACACATGCTCTTTAGAGCCTCTAGTTAATCCATAATATGAAATCAAACAGACCTAGAAAAATCCAATTGCACGAGTTTGCTATTTATTTATATCTATATTTATGTTAATATTGGGTAATATGACCGTCGGCAGTCTTCGGAGTCACATAGACGGTTCGTTAGATGGCGTCTAGACTTTGATACACACGAAATGCTGATAAATATGTTTTATTATGTTATAAATCAAGTAGGAAAATTTGAGTCAAATCGGTGACCAGAATTTGACAGCTAATGCCCCTTTAAACATTTTGTCATGGAAGGAACTTTTATTGCTTACTTTACAGTATTTGTTTTCTCATTGTCAAAGTGACATCTATTTTTATACATTCACGTCCTTTTTTGTATGGCAAGTAGGTAATACATATTTGCAATTCCTACAGTACACAATACTTATGTGGTAATTTTTTAAAAATAACATCCATTTATAATGCAAAAGTTATGACATTATGGGTCTGTCAAATTTGTAGTAAGGACTTCTACCAGTTAAAAAGGAAAATCAATAAAATCAACTTGTACGTACAAACAAAAACATATTCAATGATAGCAAATGTCTTAAAAACTACAATTGGATTGTCACATCGACGATTTCCTAAAGTACATGTAGGTCTCATCAGACTCATTTTGTTGTTTGAACTCTTTATAATCACATATGAATTTGGTAAATCAATATGTTTTGGCTATCATGTACAAGCGGACCTGGCAATACTTATTACAATTGTCTGTTTCTGAAAATAGTTTATTAATTGCCTTTCAAGAAAGGATCTATAGGTTTTGGTATTTTTTAACAAGAGTTTCAGCTGACATAAAACTACATTTGCCATCCGATCATACTTAACTATCGATGTCAATTTAAAACGCAATGTTTATTTTTATTGCTTGAAAATAAATCAAACGGTAATACCAATTTCATATGTATCGTTTCCCCGACCAAAACCAGAATCTTTAAAGGTTCTACATTTTTAAATATTCTTTATGAGATAAAATCATACGTATATATGTATAAACAAAGCTAAATTAATTTAATCTAATGCTTTTGAAGAGAATAATCTGCTTGAGACATACACGTATTTTCTTGCTTTCTTGATTGTTTCTAAGAAAGACCATGCAGAAAGCTAACTGAAAAAAACGAAAATCCGTACGGCTTTAAGGCTTGTGAATCATGATGTCTCTTGGATTTCAAGTTTTGGTGTTTCAATTTTTCTAATAAAGATAATCCAGAAAAGGGCTTTCGACGCCTGAAATTAACCAAGTGTTATTTTCATTGACCACCACTTGGTCGATAGCAATGTTTATGAACTGTTTGTCGCCGATGGTATCATCAATTCAGATAATAGCTTTGGTACTGACATAATTCATAACAAACAATAATTATCCGTTGATAAATTATATGTCTGCTTGTTTTGGTCACACATTGTTGGCAATGTAATGGTTTTCTATGCGACTGTCATTCAAGTGAGAGGTTCAGATAGCTATTAACCAGGTTTGACCTACCATTTTATACATAAGGAAATGACTGTACCGAATCAGGAATATGACAGTTGTTATCCATTCGATTGATGAGTTTGAGCTTTTAATTCTTTTCATCTAATATTGGACTTTCCGTTTTTAATTTTTCTTGGAGTTCAGTATTTTTGTTATTATATTACTTTTAAAAAAAATTATATATAACCAAAAGTTAAAATTCTTTGAGGCAAAGTTGAACTTAGATAGAGTCGGCTATCTTTATGCCTTTTTTGTCTTATAGCTCATCATGCGTGTTGGTCTTATACATCCCTGAGTTCTAAATGTTTGGTTTTGAGCGTTCCTGATGAAGGAAAATCCAGAAAGGCACGCTATTAATTAATTCTAATGTTCATTTATTGGGTGTTTTATATATAACATGAAACAAATAGAAAGCTTTAAACAAGTTATTTTTGCATTTAATTAACAAATAGAAACACATTTAGATCATTGAAACATTAGATGCTAAAATAGAATACCGATTAACGCATACATCTTTTTTTTTAGTTAGAGAATAATTCAAATCGCTTTGCAGAGAGTAAAAATTTCATACAAAGCATAGCAGACGTGTCGCTGATGATGGCAAATATTTCACAGTTGAGAGCAGTAGTAGGCTTTGGAGACGCAAATCGATTTTATATTCACCTCCTTATACTTGTAATGCTATCGTTAGCATCACATATAATGTTTGTATTTTTCACTGTTATAAGATCGCATTTCCTTAAGAAACACCATATTGCCCTGAATCGAGCAAGTTCAGATATAGAAAAACATCAAACCAAAGACATCAACAATCAGCAAACCACTCAACAATCCACATCTTCAACAACGGCACAAAGTCCACAAGGTACACAAAGTTCGACAGATGATCAAAGTACGTCAGCTCAAAAAACTTCGCAAACTGGAAAAAGTCCGAAAGCCGATCAGGAAGAAGAGAAACAAGTTACATTTTGCTGCTGTTGTACCAAAAAGTATAGAGGAAACGAATACAGTAGCAGCGATCTTTGTCAGTGTCCACATTGCCACACCGATCGTTACTTGGGTTATATCTGTAATATTCTCGTTTTTATCACAATTTGTGCAAACATTGGCATCACTGGTATTGGACTTTCTTAAGATTACCTTGATTCATAATTAATGTTCGAAATAAAATGATGTGCCGGTTGATGTGACAAAAAGAAAAGGCTCTTTTAATTTCTACAGTTTGCATGAAATTGGAATACACATTTACATTTTAAGAATAATTTTGTTGAGTGCAACTTACATGCTCCGGTTTCGTTATGTTAATTATTCAACCTTGCTATATCTGTAAGATGCTTGTACCAAACATCTTGATAAACCTCATTAACGAAACCGACGTCGTACATAAGCTTCATAGGAAGAAAGAAAAGAAGTTATGAGTATAATTTAACTTAAACTGTTGCCTATATTTAACTTATATATAGATGATTTTCTTTCACTAATTAATTTTAAGTTTGGGGATTATGTTAAACGTATTTATACCACCGAAATGGAGAAGAAGGATACAACATATAGAGTTAAGTCTGCATCGTGTCTTGATTTTCATCTCGAAAAAGAGAATGAAGGTCTGTTGAAAACAAATATATCAGATTGGGTGTACTTTTACATCTCACCCCACTTTTTTAAAATTAATTTTGTATTTACATTGTGTCATAGATCAAATTTATTCGTTCAGTGTATGTTTACTTGTTATTGTTAATATGTCTTTTGATTCAGTTTAGCCATTTCAATTGATATTTTATAGTGTGTCTTTCTATGTTGTGATGTTACACTATTGTTTCAGGTTAGGGTGAAGGTTTGCGCCTGTTAAAACGTTAAACCCGCAGTATTTGTTTGCACCTATCCTAAGCCAGAAACCTGTTGTTCAATTGTTGTCGTTTGTTGATATTTTTCATGAGTGTTTTTTGTTTTTTTATATAGATTAGACTGTTGTTTTTTCTTACTTGAATGGTTTTACAATAGTCATTTTTGGGGCCCTTTATAGCTTGCTGTTTGGTGTGTGCCAAGGCTCCGTGTTGAAGGCCGTACTTTGACCTATAATGGTTTACTTTTACAAATTGTGACCTGAATGGAGAGTTGTCTCATTGGCACTCATACCACATCTTCTTATATCTATCTACTAACTATTTGATTACCTAGGAACGAACGCAGAAATGTGATCTTTAAAAGAAGGAGACACTGGATGAACTTGTTGAAAAGAGTAAATGCATTTGTCACAGAATCCATATAGTTATTTTGAAACTTTGCAATTCTTTGACAGATTCGTGAAATGATAAATAATTCACAAACTTCGGCAGACTATCTGTTCGATTGCGTGTCTTTCAAAAGCGTCAATAATTTTAGATTAGTTATGGAAGTATTTATTCATTTGTGTGTACAAGTATTTCCAATTTATAATTATTCATATACTGTGTACATATATCATATTTCGTTTGTTGTTTACACTGTTTTTAATTTTGCATTCAATAATTAGAATCATGAGAATTTTATTTTGTTTTTCTTGGCGACTAAATGTGATCTTTTCATCACTTTCATCTTCTTTGATTTGGAACATATAGTCTAATCGACAAACAAAGAGAAAAAACCCAAAACTAGTTACACAATGACCGAAACTGAAAGTATCCGAAGGAAACGAAACGAACAGGGTGCGAAGGCCTCATTTGACATTTCTTTCTACCTAACATTAAACATCTAACTTAGAAATATTCATCTTGAATCTTAATGCTGTAATGGAAAACTTACAAGTAATACTTAAGAAACCAGCATGCTACAACACGTTAACACAATTTGATCAAAACTATGTTTTTTATTGTTTAGTTCGTAATGATTTGAAACAAAATAAAAAAGACATCTAGAGGGTAACATACAGTTGAAACCATCAAATACACAGCGTAGACGACATGGGCGAATACCGACAAAACATTTTGTCATGAACTGTGTCTATTTCATAACAACTCTCATGTAAATATCAATTATTACTTCTTTAGTTTTGACTTTTTAAATGTAATGTGTATTTTGTCATAGAATAATAATTTAAAATTTAAACATGACAACACTTGAAATGTAATTTTATCCACAAATTGCACGAAGCACGTTCTGTTTAAAGAAAGTGTAAGATTTCCCAATCAGACACCAACCTCTGGAAAATTTTCTTAAAATAGATAGAGGTAATGTCAATTGCATCATTTTACATTATTCCCTTTATTCCGTTGATTGATAACATAGTAATTGCTCAACCGTTTACAAAATTTCATTCCTGGTATCTACGATGAGTTTATTTAAATGTATTACCTTGTATTGGTTATACATTGTCCATTTGTACATTTTAACATGTGTCGCCTCTAAAATGACATTTTCAAATTTTATGGAGACATACTATTAGTTTTATCTGCAAATATTTTAGTTCTTCTGAACTCACTCGTGATAATTTCTTTACATCGTTTTTTCAATAGATAAAAACGTAATACAATTATCAATAATTGGATTGAACTAATTTTGTTGTAATTTCGACAAAACATTTCACGAGATTGTTGTTTGCAAAGTCTACCTTATAAGTCTTACTAGGAATTGATTTATAATAAAATGGAAACCTTGGCATAGTCAAACTATTGACTATTTGTCAGTTTTAGACAAATCCAAATTACAGTACAGATACACTTATATATATAACATTATTACGGTCTGCTGTAGTAACAAAAGGAAATGAGGTAAAGACAAAAGAAAACAAAAACCAGAATTCGTCAAAAATCATAATTACATATAACGACATAAGTGTAGCTGATTACAAATAAGTATAATAAAAAAAACCAATAATACCATTTTTTATCAGGAAGTACGATACCTGTACAAGTATTGATTCCATCAATGAACTAAGTTATAGTTTACCTTTCGAAGCACCTGATTTTTGTTGTATTTGCAAATTTTTGTTTGTCTTTTGGTTGTTTTTTTCCGTTTTTTTGACATAAGTCTTTGAATATTGTCTTATCCGACGCTTACATGGATTTTATTTAAAAGTTTAAAATTTTCGTTAGGAATTAGTGCTTTTCCCTCAGTTTTTACCTTGATTTGTTTATTCTTGATGATGGACTTTGTGTAACTTCTTTTAATGTACCTTTATAAGGTTCACTGACTGGTCGAGATTAAAAAAAGAGGGATGGTTGATATAAAAATAATTCATACCCACGAACTCATCAAGTACCTGAACTAAATTATGAGCCTCGTCTGTGATGGTCTTAAGTAATATCATAAGGTTTCTTTTCATATGAAGACTTGAAGTTTTTTTTTATATAGATTAGACCGTTGGTTTTTCCCGTTTGAATGCTTTTACATTAGTAATTTTTGGGGCCCTTTATAGCTTACGGTTCGGTGTGAGCCAAGGCTCCGTGTTGAAGACCGTACTGTGACCTATAATGGTTTACTTTTATAAATTTTGACTTGGATGGAGAGTTGTCTCATTGGCACTCATACCACATCTTCTTATATCTATATCAAGTGATAAAGTTAGATCTGTGGAAGTCACCATTTAATCTAGATACCATATTTGTTTGAAAGTCGTCTCAATAATTAAATTACTTTAAACTACAATTGACAGTGTTCATTTGAATGGAAAAAAATGTGTTAAGATAATTTGAAATGTCATCCAATAACATTCTGTTTAGAATATGATAGATGTATGTCTAAGTTGAGGTGAATAGAAAATTTATAGAATTTGCACAAATGTTATTACCAGGACTTTCTTCAACTTGAAGATAACAAGAAATAATAGGCGGATGAAATGATGCATATCTAGAGGTTTTTTTCAAAACTCAAGGTTCATATCATATTTTTTAAGAAATGTTAAATTTGTAATCTAAGCCTCTACTTTAAAACTAAAAGACAAATTGAAAGAGTTGGTATTACTTTGTTTCATTAAAAAGAATGGCGAACGTAGATACAAGTATCTTGTCTTGGGGAGGGATAAATCCTACTTTGTAAAGAATCACTCTGATTCAAACAAAAAATTCTCTGAAACTGACATTATCAAGATGCTTGATTTCTTGATTGACAACATATTTGTTACGTTTGGAGGACATATTTTTCAACAGACTGTCGGAATTCCAATGGGCACCAATTGTGCCCCTCTTCTTGCCGACTTGTTTCTTTATTATTATGAAGCTGATTTCATACAGGAACTTCTTAGGAAGAAAGATAAGAAGTTAGCAATATCCTTTAACTCTACGTCCCGCTATATAGATGATGTTCTTTCACTAAATATTACAAAATTTGGTGACTATGTTGAACGAATCTATCCCATCGAACTAGAGATAAAGGATACTACAGATACAGTTAAGTCTGCCTCATATCTTGACTTACATCTAGAAATTGACAATGAGGGTCGGTTGAAAACAAAACTTTACGACAAAAGAGATGATTTCAGCTTCCCAATTGTGAACTTTCCATTTCTATGTAGCAACATTCCAGCAGCGCCTGCATACGGAGTATATTTCTCCTAATTGATACGATATTCCCGGGCTTGTGTTTCCTATCATGATTTCCTTGATTGAGGATTGCTGCTCACAAGGAAGCTTTTAAGCCAAGAGTTCCAAATGGTGAAGTTGAAATCATCCCTTCGTAAATTTTACGGACGCCATCACGAGTTGGTTGACCGTTATGGAATAACCGTTTCACAGATGATATCGGATATGTTCCTTATGTCGTAACTACAATACCCTTCCCTTTTCACGAATGTGACTTACCGAATTAGACTATTTACCGGATTTGTAATAACATAAGCAACACGACGGGTGCCACATGTGGAGCAGGATCTGCTTACCCTTCCGGAGCACCTGAGATCACCCCCAGTTTTTGGTGGGGTTCGTGTTGCTTAGTCTTTAGTTTTCTATGTTGTGTCATCTGTACTATTATTTGTCTGTTTGTCTTTTTATTTTTGGCCATGGCGTTGTCAGTTTGTTTTCGATCTATGAGTTTGACTGTCCCTCTGGTATCTTTCGTCCCCCTTTAAAAAGAAGGAGCGAAAACCAATCATAAAAAAGAACAAATATTTTCACACGTTAAAAGAAAAACAATAGGCACTATTTAACATATTAGAGCATTTAGTTACGTATTCTGAAAAATTAAATCTAATAAATGCTCAGTGAGTAAATATTGTTTTGGACAAAATAAAAGGCTGATGTATACAATGGGTGTTTCCACAGCGGTAGATCACCTAAAATCTTTTTTGATTCAAGCGTCACTGATGAGTCTTTTGTAGACGAAACGCGCGTCTGACGTACAAAATTTATCTATGGTATCTATAAAAAGATTATTATCGACATTACATAAGTCTACGGTCACCATCACAAAGAGGACGACTGATACGATATGTCTGTGTCTAAATTAACATGCACCCGGTCCCGCTGAATAGCGAGTTTTTACGAATACCTCCGATTCTGCTTCTTACCTGGTCGTCCTAATTGTTTTTTTGAGACGTTAAGATCGGGAAACTACTGTTGCCTTAATACAAATAATTTTCTCTCTAGCGTATGACGACGGATTCTCATGAGAAGGAAAAAATCCCGTAAAAAAAGTCATGATAGTTTATCAATTATTACTTCTTTAGTTTTGACTTTTTAAATGTAATGTGTATTTTGTCATAGAATAATAATTTAAAATTTAAACATGACAACACTTGAAATGTAATTTTATCCACAAATTGCACGAAGCACGTTCTGTTTAAAGAAAGTGTAAGATTTCCCAATCAGACACCAACCTCTGGAAAATTTTCTTAAAATAGATAGAGGTAATGTCAATTGCATCATTTTACATTATTCCCTTTATTCCGTTGATTGATAACATAGTAATTGCTCAACCGTTTACAAAATTTCATTCCTGGTATCTACGATGAGTTTATTTAAATGTATTACCTTGTATTGGTTATACATTGTCCATTTGTACATTTTAACATGTGTCGCCTCTAAAATGACATTTTCAAATTTTATGGAGACATACTATTAGTTTTATCTGCAAATATTTTAGTTCTTCTGAACTCACTCGTGATAATTTCTTTACATCGTTTTTTCAATAGATAAAAACGTAATACAATTATCAATAATTGGATTGAACTAATTTTGTTGTAATTTCGACAAAACATTTCACGAGATTGTTGTTTGCAAAGTCTACCTTATAAGTCTTACTAGGAATTGATTTATAATAAAATGGAAACCTTGGCATAGTCAAACTATTGACTATTTGTCAGTTTTAGACAAATCCAAATTACAGTACAGATACACTTATATATATAACATTATTACGGTCTGCTGTAGTAACAAAAGGAAATGAGGTAAAGACAAAAGAAAACAAAAACCAGAATTCGTCAAAAATCATAATTACATATAACGACATAAGTGTAGCTGATTACAAATAAGTATAATAAAAAAAACCAATAATACCATTTTTTATCAGGAAGTACGATACCTGTACAAGTATTGATTCCATCAATGAACTAAGTTAT